CCAACATGGCTGAAGATGTCTGCATTAGGGTTTAGCTGCGGGATCTGGAAGGGGCTTGCCATTTTCTGGGGCTGATTAAGTCGACGGTTAATGTATCCTCCTTGTGTAAAAGACAATAAATCATCCTTTAATGTATCTAATTCGCTTATAAATTTACTAATGTTTTCCATTTGTACTTCTTGCCACTGTTGTTGACTTTCCTGTAGTTGCTGCTGGCTTTCTTCATGTTTCCTTTCTTGTTCCAGTTGCCACTGCTGTAATCTCTCTTCTTGTTACTTTTCTTTTCCTCCAACAACTGCTGTAATTTCTCTTGTTTATTTTGCTGTTCGAGCTGCCATTGTTGGAGGTTTTCTTGCAACTTCTGTTGTCTCTCATCTTGTTTCTTTTCTTTTTCCTCCCACAACTGTTGTAATCTCTCTTCTTGTTTATTTTCTCGTTCTTTTTGTTTCTTTTCTATTTCCTCCAACCACTGCTGTAATCTCTCTTCTTGTTTATTTTCTTGTTCTTCTTGTTTCTTTTGCTGTTCTTGTATTGCTGCCATCAAATCTGCTAAGCTGTAGTTTGATTTTCCGCCTCTTGTTTCCATCTTCTTCTTTTTTTATTTTCTATCCCACTTCTGACACCAATTTTTTACGTCTCCGTTTGTTAGTTAATTTTCCGTAAATTCGTTCCGATGAAACTTTTGCGACACAAGTCCTTTCCTAAATAAAAATGGTTTATTCTTTCTGAATATAACTTTGTGATACACTTAATTTCAACAGTCGCGCTATAACAAATGCTATAATTCTCAACGAACGTCTCACGTGCTCGACTAAACAATACTCCGTTTAATTACACACATTGGTGCCGTCAATTTGTGACCATCTTATATATAAAAGACTACACTATATCTAGAAGGATCCCGAGATTTAAGGAAAGGACGTGAATGGTCGAGAACGACGAGATGTGATACTGGTCACGTGACCTCTGCTGACGCAACAGTATTAATTATAAATTCCTAAAAATTGTATTATTTTTCTACATTTTAAGATATCCACAAAGTCTCATGCTTAGGTTTTCTCCTGTTCTTAGATCTAGAGATTAAAATTGTTAGAGCATTTTAGTTCAAATTTCAAACCTCTAACATATTATGTAAGATAAATAAATAGATTTGAATATCAGTAATTATGAAATATGTTTCAAAATGCTAAGATTTGCACATGTAGAATGGGTTCCTTGATAATTTTATTTAACTACCTGTAGTTGTTACATAACAATAAATTATAACTTCTCATTGTAGCCATCCATTTTTCAAAGGAATGAAGAAACAAATACTTTTAGTGATTAAACTTATTCAATCTTTTAATATATTGCATTATGACTACATCTATAGGTTCATAATTAGTACGATTCTATTTCAAATAAAAAATAGGAAGTACAGATTTTATATCCATTTGATGACAAACAACAATCAGTATAATACTTATTGTGTAGCAAAACCATTTAGTTTGATATATTTCATGACCTTTATATGTTTTTATTTCATTCCAAACTTTATTTATTCTTCTCATAAAAGGTTCACTTACAAAACGTGGAAAAGGAAAGTCAGTTCACAGCTCTACATCAATTCTAGTGGGAAAACTACCAGATTATATCTTCAAGAAAAACACTACTGTTACATCGACCTTTTCTGATGAGTTTAATGTATGTATTAAACTTGACACAGTTTTTTTTTTCAAAACTAACCTGTTTTATTTGTTATTTCTGTTCAAAAATATCAAATATGATTTTGTATTTATTACTAAAAGACTAGCTTTGATGAGAGTTTTAATGATTAAAACTGATTTGTGAAAGCAAAAATCTAATAGAAACTGTATATATTTACTATGAAAACTGAAATAGAAGGTAAGTGAAGGTAAACAGTTATGAATCTATGTTGGATATACAAAACTGTTCAGCTTAAGAGTTATTATTTAGTGATTTAATATTTAATTATTATTTAAATTTCATAACAAGAGTGTTAAAAGCTAATTATTTTAAGAGATAGTTATGACAAGTTTCGTTACGTAACTCTGTACAAGTCATATGTTGTGAATGTAGTTTAATTGTTGTACTAGGCTTTTTTAATATTGTTGACATCATATTACTTGAAGCTTCTAAGTCTTTCTTGTTATGTAATATTGTTGTAACTAAAGGGCTAGATATTTCTAGATTTTTCTGTCATGTGTTATAAATATGTGCAGATACAATCTGTTTGGACTTTGACAAAAAAGAGAATTATTTAAAGCTCTAGATACAACTGTGATAACCAGTATGGTCACGAATTTTTGTGCATACATTTAACTTGTTTTGAATATATTATTTTAAAACAAGTGGATTATGTGCTGTCCGTTTATTGTTGAAATTTATTGTCAACAAGTCACAGGCACCAACTGTAAAGAATCTGGCGGCCACACACAACCTGACAGTCTGAGCCCAGTAAAAAAAAAAAGACTAATTTCTACAATAAAAATTTTCAAGAATGAGAACAGTTGTTAAAAGAAACACTAATAGTATCTCATCGCCATTGTCTTCTTGTATTATATCCACTTGTTGTTTTATAATTATTATAACTTTTGTGCTTCTTAAATATTTTTATGACATAATTGCATATTAATTAAATGGAATTATTGTAGATTTTCATGACTTGATCCTTTGATCAAGTTTTTTTTTTAAATGACAGAATTTTTTACACATTTTGAAACACCAATAGTCACATTTACATTCAGTTAATTGAAGTGAATAATTAATCAAGTGCCAAATTCAACCAAAGAATTTAAAAGTTTCAACATAGATAAAGGTGAGAAAAATTAGCACAAATTGCTTTACATAATGGTGTGTTATTCAAGAAATATCTATATTTTTGAGGGTGAGGTTTAAAAGATATTTTACTACAACTGAGAGTCTAACAAGAAGAAACTTGCAAGAAAGACATAAAAAAAAAACTGAAAGGAACTAGTTGTGCACTGGGTTAGAACTATCAGCAATAGACCTGTTCAAAGAGGCTGTAAAAAAATAGAGGAAAAGAAAAACATGAGCTTAACATTCCTCATGTGAACATAATCAGATATCTACGTTTTGTTTAAAAAAAAACACAACCCAAAACTGGCCAACTCAAAGTCTCAGTACTGATCCAGTTCAGAAGTACTGTTGTAAAGAGAACTCAATTAATTTATTGCACCCTTTGATTATTATACAGCAAAAGTAGAAGGAATACCAGTTTATTGTCTCATAAAACTTATATCATCCAAGCCTAGTTGGTGGTGTTATATAGTTAAGTCAAGAGGATAAACAACTAAAAATTTATTTTATAACTTTGTTATTTTCCAAAATAAACTTATTTTATCTAATATTGAAATATTGATTACAAATGTAATATACATATTATGTAACCAAACCAGTACTTTTCTTTTGCTACACTTCATGGAACCATAATTGTTGATAATTTAGACTCAGACTTTTAAGTCATATTGTAACTGTAAGAATTTGTTGAATTTGATTAATCTTAATATGATACAAATTAAAAATAAATCATAAATTACTGAGGAAAGTGCAAAATCTATAAACTATTTCTATCTGTTTAATACTATTTAATATTTTGATTCATAAATGGTTTTGTAGTCACTCTTAGGAGGACAAACATCACAATGGAGTGAAGCAAAAAAGGCAGAAAATGTAAAGAAGAACCGGTATGGCAACCTTCTTCCATGTAAGTAAAGTTTTTTAATGATTCTAGTTTTTCTGAATGTTTCATCAATTATGATATGCAGAATTAAACAAAAGAAATCCTATTTTTGTCAGAATTTAATATATTTTATAGATATGGTTGCAATTTTGTAATGTTTTTTTTTCTATTATATCAATTTAACTTGTTTTTGTTCTTTCAGACGATCGTTGTCGTGTAATCCTTGAGCCCTTACAAGGGGTAACCTCTTCTGACTATATTAATGCAAGTTACATTGATGTAAGTTAATTCAGATCTTTCATGATGATTAAAGTGTGGCTGTAACTTTCAAGCACTTCAGTAAAAGTGTTAGATGCCTTTTTATAATAAAGTACTTTCTACTGATTAAAATAACTAAAAAAGACAATGAGAATCAGTAGGATAATAAAGGATTACTAAAGACATATATTACTGTTTTGTTTCTCAATATTCAATACTTGAAAACCTACTTTAGTAATAAAATGTAGATCCAGAACATAAGAATTACTTTATGCTACTAAATTTAATTCTGCCATAAAACTTATAGTAGAAATCTATAACTTTCTTAAATAATCTTTCTCAAGCTATCCATTTAGTCAGTTAAAAAGATTATAGAAAACTTAAACAATTTAATTCTTAACTGTCAGAAATTTTGAAGAAAAGGTTTATCTTTCTTGATCACTGCTAATAAGGATACTATTAGAGTTCTTTATATACTATTTGGAAAAACCAGTGAATTGACAAAAAGAAAACATGTATTATAAAGTAATTCAGTATTTGCTTATCAACATGTGGTAAGTTACATAAATGTGTGTGACATAAGGTATTTATAATGAATTTTTTACCCAAAATGTGTTTGTTGTGGTACTGAATAAATTTTAACAAACTGGAGTGAGATATTAGCAAATAAAACACAGTGGTTAACTCTTAAACTTACATCACTTGTAAGCTAGAGCCATCAGTGGTATTAACTCTCTGAAATAAAATAAATCAAATTGTGCACATTTCAACATTTTTACAGAGTTGCATTTAAAATTTAATTGTTCACGTTTATTTTCAGTGTATGTCAATAAAGTTGGCATTGAAACGTAGTTTATAAATCAAATTTTGATATAAGTTTTAGTTTCTGTATTTCAAAAAGAAACATTTAAAAAATTTTTAATTTTTACTCCTCTTTATCACAGGCCCAGTATGGCTAAGTTGTTAGGTTGCTTAACTCACAATCTGAGGGTCATGAGTTTGTATCCCTGTCCCATCAAACATGCTCACCCTTTCAGCCATGGGGGCATTGTAATGTGATGGTCATTCTTACTATTCGTTGGTAAAAGAGTAGCCCAAGATTTGGCGGTAGGTGGTGATGACTAGCTGCCTTCCCTCTAATCTTTCACTGCTAAATTAGGGATGGCTAGCGCAGATAGCTCTCATGTAGCTTTGGGCAAAATTCAAAACAAACCAAACCTCTTTATCACATGACACTTCTTTGCCCCCAAATTAATCACTTTACAATTTCTTTTTACCCCTATATGATCTTCTGAGTTTGATATAAATTACACACTTATACCATAGTTATTGTTAAGCCTTAACATAAATCTATAGCCTTCAAGCTTCTTGCTTACTGAGATATAAACAAAAAAAGTTAAACCCACATGTCAAACCCCCCTCAGTTTCATTGTGTACTATCATGCCAATCAGCCTGACTAGCTAACAAAACTTGTTTAACCATTAGTTACAAAGCTAGTTAATATATAGTAGTTTTAGGACATTTTATTTTTATGTTTGATAATATTTTGTGTTTTAAATTGCATATTTAAAATATATAAACAAAAATATTTTGTTCACAACCAACATTGTCAAAAAAAGTAGTTTTACAGTACCTTGATGGCAAAATACTATAGTCCACATCTAAGTCCTGAATATCTTGATTCTTTTACATATGTTTTCTGTTCATTGTTGAAAAAAGTATTAAAAATGAAAAAATAGAAGCTTATTAGTATAGATAAGAAGGATTAAATGAAAAGCAAAATTTAAATAAAAAAAAGTTATTCATAATGACACATGCACATCATGAAGTGAGCAGGCCTGTATGCAGAATGTTTTAAAGGGGGAGTTCTAATTTGTAAAAAATAGGTGCTATGAGATTAAACCTGGAAGCAATTTTGCATGAAATAAAGCTTAAACAACTGAATGGCTGTTCACATAAAAACCAAAAACATCCAATGAAAAGTCAGCAAATCATCATTCTGTTGTAACACTACCTAGGGAACTAGACTTTAATTAGCATAAATATGTATGTTTTATTATAGTAAAGTACTGTACTATCTGCATGCAGAGTAGTTATTAATTGTTAAATTAATTTAAACAACTCTGTACAACAATAGTATATTAGCTATTTCAATCATTGGCTATCATATATGTACGAACATGCATTATTGAAATAACATGTTAGCATGCTCCATTTTTTGGGGTACTTTTCCATAAAAATGCCCTTAATGTTGAGGTTCTACTGTAGATGTAAAATCTGGTATGTGGTGAACCCCCTTACTATGAGCATCCTATTTCCTCATACACAAATCCCACTAACATATGCTTTGTCATTCTTACTCCGTCTCACATGTATGATGCTAGCAGTTTTACAGCTTCTCTGTCTGATAGAACAGAGATGCACTTGATTAAGTTAATAAATGTGAAGACTGAAAATCAGCCAAAACTGGTTATACCTCATTAGTCTAATGGGTCAGGTAACAATTTTTAGGTAGCAAGTTTTTGTTATATCTTTTTTGTTAGATACATGTATCAATGTTTAACTGACAGGGTCTCAATACATCTCTCCAATTACAGATAACTGTCAATTGTTATTACCAACCAGATCTGGTTATATATCTTTGTATTTAGGAAAATTATCAGTTTTCAGTTATCAGATCAATTATACCTGTATAGGTAAAGACATGTATCAATTCTCAGATATTAGGCCACAGCTAAGCATATCTGTCTGTTTATAAACATCTTCATGTTAGCTGATAAAATTTAGTCATGTTCATCTTGTTTTTGTACATTTGTTATATATATAATGGAATATGTATATTTAATTAGGGACAGTTAATTACCAGATCTGATTATATTATGTATGAATCAAAAACAGTTACATAAAAAAAACCTGCAACAAACAATTGCTCTCAATAAATGACTAAATTTAACATTTGCACTAAACTTGACATGAAACAGTTGTGTATACTTAACAATATCTGTATAGTTAGTGACAGGCATCAGTTGTCAGCCAACTGAAGCTGAATATATATGTACAGTTAGGAATAGCTGTCAGTTGTTTTTTACCAGATCTGATTGTATCTATATGGTTAGTGACAGGTATCAGTTCTAGATTTTGTTTTCATATTCATTTCTTAGGTTGGTAACATCTGGTCAGATGTGAGATCTGGTTTACATGTGAAATTTGTCTTAGGCACTGACAGATCACTTACATTATTATACCAGTAACCATCACTCATCCAATTATATGGTATTTAAAACTGCTAAAGAGATCTTAACTTCACTATTCACTAGTAAAATTCTGCTATTTTATCATGCTCATAATGTTTTTAATTTCTTTATTTTCAGGGTTACAACAGTACAAAGGAGTATATTGCAACACAAGGTATAGTGGTCATCTAATTTTTCAAGAATTGAATTTTTTTTACTTTTATTACTTATTTATTTAGTATAACTTTTTTCATCTTTTTCAGTCAAAAACTTTTATAATTCCTAATTAATTTCAAGTGTAATTACATAACTACCTGTGTCACGTATACATATTTACTGTACGTTTTTGTTTTCATGTACAGTAAAAAAATGCTAGTTTTCAATAATGTGTTGTTGTTGTCTAGAAGTGTACATTTTAGTACTTTTGTAAATAATACTATTTTTTTTTAGTTACCCAAACAAAACAAAAAAGAAACATCCAAAAGTGTGGTTAATATTTATACTAATAAATATAAAAATAAATCATTCAGCAGCATTTTACTGTATATTCACTATGTCATAATACAATAAAATCTGTCAAATCATGTTTGTTTTTGCATTTATTACTATAATTATTAGCCATACCTCTGGATAATTTCTTTTCAGGCACATTGTGCTTCTATATTAAGAGTACAAAACACAAAAACCAACATTTTTTGACACAGTGAATGGTAAAATATTTATTATTAGTTACAGCTGACTAGTTTTGGTAATGCAATTTTTTTTACTTCATTGTATTTTGAAATAAATGTGAATTTTTTACTAAGAAGAAATTTACTCTATGTGTTTTAGGTCCAAAAGAAAACACTTCTTTGGACTTCTGGAGGATGGTGTGGCAGGAGAATTCCTCTGTTATTGTCATGGTGACTAGTTTAATTGAAAGTGGAAAAGTATGTCCTTTATCTATATGTTTTTGTTTGTCTTTCAAGCTAGGATACGTAAAACTTGTAGAAGCTCTTGAAGACTATGCAGTTGCTTTGTATTGGTTTAAGATTAATAGATACATACTACTAGCAAGAATGATTTACCATTTTGTTACTATGTGGTTAAACTGTGAGATTACACAAGATATGGATACCTGTAAATGTTTAAGGATTTTAGCATAAATAATAATGAAGTTTTACCTGCTTTTAATACAGTCAATAGATAAATTTTTCAAATTACATAATTTCTTCAACTCTAAAGCTGTATACATTTGGACCATATCTTTTTGAAATTATGAAACTAATACTTATTCATTTATTTAGAGAAAAAGATTTGATTGAAAGCATATACTGACACTTTCATGTACAAAACATCATACATACTGTAAATTTTTTAAGTAAAATTAATTACATATAACTTCACCTTTAACTGTAATTTCTTTTAAGTTTAATTTTGTATTTAAAGCTAAAAAGGTATCTGAAAATATTGCCTAAATTGAAAGTGTATGAAAGAAACATGGTAAGTAATGGAACAAGAATATTTAAAAAAATTAAAGTCATATTTTCAATAAATGTTTTATAATAGTTATTCAGTAAAATATATTACTATCTTACAGAGAAAATGTGCCAAATATTGGCCCGATGACAGCATTCAGTATGGAGATTTACAGGTATTGTTAATTCATACAGAGACGTGTATGGATTTCATGATACGCACCATCTTGCTGAGAAAAGTGAGTTTAACATGTTGCACCTTGTTAATGTGCATGATTCTTTGATTAGTCTACTCTCTTTTGCTTTTTAATTCTTCTTTTTAGATGAAATTATCTAAATACAAAAATAATTGTTCAAGTTGCATTCAATCTTAGATTAATTGACCCAATTAGCTTATTGATTATGTGCAAGTCAAAACAAGCCTGAAGTCATTGAAGAAGTGAATGGAGAACAAATCTCTCATATAACTCTTTCATCAACAACATGGAGCATGTCATATGCCCCATACATTAGACGTACATAATATGTAGCCATAATTTAGACTTATACAAAGGTGGTAGGAAGAAGGTAAAAGAAGTAACATTCGACAGCAATGAATGTGCACGTAACATTGTATGACTATTTTCTTAGGCAGCTTTAAAGCACGTTTTTTAACATTTAATTTGGTGCATAAAGTTTCATAATCTGTCAAAATATAACAAGTTACATGGCTAAAATATTCCTACCCATGATAGAAGGATTAATATTCTGAGATCATTCTTGAAAATTTATGACTTATATTTTGATAGATTTTAGCACTCATGACCTGCATAATATTTTCTGTAATTTGTAATAAAAAAAATTAAAATTATTAAATACGACCATTTGAGAAAATTACATTATATTACTCAATATTGAACATTCCCTCTTAAAATCATTTGTGTAAAAAATACAACAATCTTTAACACAAAATTTACTAATTGTGAACTGTAATAATTAAAAGATTCATAATATATAAGTAAAATGTACATCTGAAATTAATGAGACTAGATGCTAGTAAAATGTGTGAATTTCTCTAAAGAATAATTATGCAAAGTAACATTTATTATACCATTAATAGTACAGTGGGTTGAGTAGCCTAACTAGGAGCCTTGTTCATGCCAACACTTTCATAACTATTCTGAATGTACTATTTGATAACAGTACATTAGAAGAAAGACAGATGATCTTCAGTTCGAACTGAATAACAAGTATAAAATGGGCCTGCATGGTACATATATATAAATATATAATTAAACAGCGATCACTATGAAAACATGTAGCACAGTATAGGGCCTTATTGTGTACATTTATGTATATGTCATGTTTTGACAGCAATTTAACTCTGAATGGTGTGTATTTATTTACCTTTTACACCAGCTTGTAATCATATCATTACAACAAACAAAACTTTCACTTACTGAACAATTCTATCTCTAATATGTATAAATGGCTGCAAACTAGTCTGCAGATTGTAGTGACTTTGAAGGCATATACTTGCACATATCAATTTCAACAGCACCTAAAACCACGTATTTGTTTTCCTCTTTAATGAACTTGTAACTTTACTGCCAAGACAAGAAAATGGAGCAAATCGATCTATAAATGTATGCATGGCTGCTGACTATTCTAGTTTGTGTTACATGACACCAACTTTTGAAAAAAATTAAATAAAGCTTATCTGCACTTTGCTGTTAATCTCCACAATTTCACGTATGTTGATTGTCTGCTATTACGTTTCTATTTCTTACACCTCTCCATCAGCAAGGAATTTTGTGATATTATTATTGGCTGAATATTTACACTGTTAAATAACATTTGTGAATAGAAAACTACCACAATTAACAATTGCTTCACACTTGATTAACAACTATAAAGGTAGAAAATACTTAACCTAACAAATAACTAACATTGATAAAAAAAAAAGAAGTCATTAGAAAACTTACTTCATACAATATTGATCAACCTAGTAGAAAATCAACACCAATATAATTACATCACAATTTATAATGTCTGTCTTAATATTAAACTAAATGTATCAACACCTTGTCCAAAGATGGTTATATTGTTTTTGTTTCTAGCCAAAGCTATTTCATTTCAGTTTTTTTATTACTAAATTTTCCTGGTTAAGAATGGTTTTCAGCTTGTAGATGCACAAATTACCTTCATCAAAGGGATAATCATGTGTGTTTCATGTATAAATAGCTGAAGGTTCTGAATGAAGTCATAAATCATATTGTACATCATAATCAAATGAAATCAGTAAATTGAAATAATTAGGAATGAGTTCTAACTCTACACTGAAAACATGTACAAGGACACTACCTTGATGTTAGAAAAACACGTAAGTTCAAGAAGTCTTGATAGAAATGAACAAATACCCTATAACCCGAGCGCTTTCGAAAGGTGGACCTTTATTCTTCAGGGGCAAACTGTAGTCATATGTTGGAGAAAACATCAGTTACTTATTGTGTATCCTACTGTAAAAGAATGCCTAATATTTGCACTAATATTTTCTCTATTCTTTTTTTTAGTCAGTATGCTTATTTTATTTTAGTTAAGAACTGAGGAGTTTGGATCCATGTGCAGTCTGATACTGAAAATTAAGTATTGTGTTTATAACAATATGCATGGAATGGAATCTTCAAGCTCTATATCTCTATACAGTGGTGTAACTAGATTTCAAAGGGCCCTGTGACAAACATTTTTGTTGCCCCCCATTGAAACATTTTCCATGTTTTGTTTTGTTTTTTCCATCAATTTTCATATTTTAAATTCCAGATATTGAGGGTCTCTTGGTTAGCCTGAGCCATTGAGAAGCTGCCCCACCTATCACTACATCACTTCTATATATATTTTAAAAACTGAGTTTCATTCTTCCATAGTGCTTGATTTCTATTCTCTATTTCCCAACTTATACTCCAAAGTACTTTATATAACCTTTTATTTTCAAAACCATTTGTTTCTGAGGAAAGAAAGATTATATTGTTTACAGAACAGAGAAACAAGAAGAGTTCGTCATTATCAGTTTTTAGACTGGCCTGATAATGGAATTCCCTCAAATGCTGCATCATTGATCATGCTACAACGCAGAATCCGAACAGATAATCCTGATAACAAAAGCCCAATTATTGTTCATTGCAGGTAAGATTAAATTACTTTTTTAAGAATATTTTATTTTAGTTATTTATGATATTATGATATGTTTGTTGGTTGCTGAATGTCTGTGGTATATAAAAATTGAGCAATACTAGGTATATCTAGATTATTCAAAAATTTATTATAAGATTGTTCCATATTAAAAATAACATAGAGTTTTACTGTTCTAAAACATCATTTCCTGAATTTTTGTTGCATTATTAAATTCTAAAAGAATGATATAAATTTTTTGTATATGCATATGTTTCAGTGCAGGTATAGGAAGATCTGGAACTTTTATTGCCATTGATGCATTACGGAATCAAGCAAATGAAGAATATCAAGTTGATGTGTTCAGTTTTGTGAACAAGATGAGAATGCAACGGATAAACATGGTGCCGACTTTGGTAAGCATATGAAATATTTATAATTGGAATACTTGCTTTCCTAATATGAGACATAATTTATTTTGTTTTTTCGTGTTCACTCTTTACATCACAGACACATGTTTAATTGTTATCTATGAAGATGTAGTATTGGAATTCAACACTTCCAGGCTGTGTAAGAAATTTATATATCCCTCATCTCCTTCTCATATTTACTCAACAAGTAGTTTGGTGCTATGTATTTTACAGTCTCAAGCTGAAAATATATTTGTAATTTATCCCTTAACATATGATTTGAATTATTAACTGTAAAATATATTTTAAAATTTTGAAAAATCATGTTCCAATTCTTTGAAGAAGTGTCAACTAATATATAACTGTATCACTTCCTCTTGTATCATATAAATGTTAGATTTTAACTTCTTAAATATTCTTTCTTTTATTTTCAGGAACAGTATACTTTCATTTATGAAGTTCTTTCAGAAGCAGTATTATGTGGTGATACAATGGTGATGGCTGACCAACTTCACATGTATGTTCGACATATATGTTCCCCACAACCAAACACAGATATATCAGAAATAAAGCAGCAATTTGAGGTACTCTTTAAACTGAATGATATCCTTAAAAGCTGTTAATATTGTTTGAATGAGAAAATATTGTCAAGAGTTATGAGGGACAAATGTACAATACCCGTTAAGTGTAAATCCAAACTAATGGAATAATACCAAAATTATATGGATATTAGTTTGATATTTCAAAATACCCCTATTTTGTGAGTCTCTAAGTCAACTAATTGTGTGGTTTTGTAGCAGATAAGGAGTTAAAATCATTATGATAAAGTAAGATCTTATATTCAAAAACCTTTGCTCTCAAATGTTTTTTGTTTTTCTTAAACCTTATTTTCCAGTATTGAGTGTTTTAAGGTTCTAACATATTGATCATATAAGTGATTCTTATTCGATTGAAATCTGCTAGTTCTTGTTGCAATAATTGACAACTACTTAAGCATGTTACAATTAATGCAAAATTATATGTTGATGTGTCACCAAAAAAACTACTAAAACATGTTTTTTAGGTTTGTTTACCACATTGGCATTAGCTCAAATCTATAAGCTCGTGGAAAGTCATCATTATGTAGTAGACTATCAACAGTTTCTGTCAGAATAAAAGTGATTAAAGTATGTTTGATCTATTCATTGTTCTCAAGCAGAGGGTAAATTCTCAAATCACATGTAAGAGAGGAAAAATAAAAATAATCTGTACAAGTGTCACTTAAAGATTTGTGGTTCTGTTGTTATCTTACTTGTAATTTCTAAATTGTCATAAGTGGTAATATATCATTTTTAAACATTTATGAAACAATATATATTTTTCTGACATAAATATGGAAATTGAAGAATAATACATTTTCAAGAGGTTGCTCAGTGGGATGTAAAACATAATTTCAGACAATTCTTATCATTATCTAAGTGTTATCAGGCCAAGCTTTTTGTTTTAATATAACATGAATTAGTTGTTCAACAGGAGGTTTGTAGTATTTTTAGCATGTTAATCTTTCCTATTCAGAGAGATATGTTTTCACTGTCAGCTATAATACTGTAAAACTGTATCATTAATAAAGATATAAATTAAAACTTATGTTATTTCAAGACAGTAAAACAGTATGATATCAGCCCTAGCAAGTTGTGATGCACAACTTAAATTCCTCATATTTACTTATTGTTTTTTTTTCTGTTATTTTCAAGTTGGAAGTTGTTAAATAATGAAATACCATTGTAATCCAAGAATTAAAAGGCTACAGTATTAACAAGAAAAACAGTAAACATTTCCTTGTTAAATTTTTAGACTTTGTCCAAGATCCAACAGAAGACTAGCATAAGCCAGTGCTCTGATGCTTTGAATGATATAAATATTTTGAAGAACAGAGATCCAATGATAGTTCCTTGTAAGTGCCATAAACAGTTATGTACTTATACAAGTAAATTTAAAACCATAGAAAGTTTTATCAATTAAATAATATTAAGTAATGGCAGTCTTTCCTAGGACAGTTATACAGAGGTTGAGTGCATTATATTGAAATGATTTTGGAGCCTTACCACGTCATTACATTCCATGTCATCATGTCTAACCATGCTCTGTCTGATGATCATGCACCTTGATAATAACCCTGCAGCATAGTTTCCATTGTAAGGTTTTCATGTCCAAAGCACACCCTCTTCCCTATTGCTTTCCATAATTTCTCAAGTGTAGGAAGATGATAATTTCTCTGTGCCCATTTCAACAGTCTGATGCCACAGAAATTCATAGGTGTTGCATCCTGCAAGTTGACCAATATGTTTTCATATTGAGTAACATGAATACTCATTGCATTCTCCAGCTGCTTGAGATATGTGATGGTTGAACAGATACGTTGTGGAAGCAACTTGTGTACGTATGACTTGTGTCACATTTTTGAGATGGAAATCCTTTTTTTATTATGTTGTGTACTGTTTCCTTGGGCACATAAATGGTCTTTGCTACTGATCTCTGTGTTCATGGATTCTCACCTGTCACAAAAAGCCACACTTTTCATATCATGGCTGGGTTATGACTGTTTGCATATCTCTTTCTGGATGGTCATTTTTGTAACCAAGTTTATCCATATTCCTTTGTTTTCCTATGCCCTTAAGTGCAAGGAATATTCCCATCTTGAAAATTATAAAAACCCAATCTTCATGGTCTCAGTGTATGAAAATTGGAAAGGGCTGTTACATACCCTTCTCAAAAGTGATGCATTTTTGGTGGAATCACATGACCACAAAATGCCAATCAATGCTAAAATGTAATTCTGATATTTGCTGCTCCATCATAAATTATGTTTCATAGGTTGATATTATAAATAATTATTTGCAATTTACATCAAGCATGGCTAAATGATTTTAAAGTATAACACATATTTTTCGTTTTTGCCTTATTTTTATTCCTTTTTTTAAATAGCATAGTTGCTATAATTGTGATCTCTAATTTTAAGTAGCTTTTCAATTTAATTAATCCTCATAAAGATATAAGTTAAGTTATTTGAAATTTTAGTATTCCATATTTTGTTTTATTTGTAATGGAAATAATTATAGAACACACAAGTAATACACATACAGAGTCACAAAAAACAAGTTATTGCAACAATATGATTAATTTTATTTATAGGTATAAAACATTATTGCAGAAATATGTTGTACAAGGCAGTAGTGTTTCATATGTGAACTCTGTTTTACCCAAGGCATTACACTATGTTTTTATGTCATCATATAATTTATCAATTTATATTTGTGGATTATTATTCCAAACAATCTTTTCTTTGCTCTTTGGTTGTATTTTGACCTCAATTTTTAAAGAAGCCCAAACAACTTAAGAATGTTTATATTGAGACTTTTTGCAGTTCCATCTGTTTATTTTTACTGTTAAGATAGAATTTACCACATTTGTTGTATTCTTGGCATCTTGCCAGAAGATGAATCTTCACCTGATGAGATGTGTTCTTGAGGAAATGGCATGATGGATCAGAATCTGCATGTAGTTTTCAGCAGAAGGGTATCATCAATTTTGATGAGATTACTGACATTGTTGACTGAAATCCTCACCATGCTTCACTGTAGATGTACATTAACTGAGATACGTTTGATTCATTTATAAAAGCACACATTTCCAGCTTTTCTCATTTTGCTGTTTGTGGTTCAATGCCCATTTCAAACTATTGGTTTTGTTTACCTCTTTTCAGTGGCAGTTTTCAAACAGATACGTGTCTGTTGTGACCACTTTTTGCTTATGTATATTTTACTATTCTCAAGGTAACATTCACACCTGTATTTATAACATAGTCATTGGTAAGATTTGTATTTGACTGTCTTCTGTCTCATAAAAGAACATACCCTGAAATACTTAACATACTTTTGTAGAGGTTTGTTTTCTACCTCAGTCACTTCTGTTAGTAACAATGCCAGTTTCACATACTTTCTTCAGTCTTCATACTGTTCCTATTGAAACATGGAGTCTTAATACAATATTTTGCATAGAGTATCCTTGACAAGTCAAAACTTCAATTAGTACACCCTTGTCATGCAGTATTTCAGTACTGAGAGCCATGACTATATTTTCACTTTTACTAAAGGCCCTACTATGACTGTGTAATTTTATAGAGTATATACTAACATAGTATTTCCGATACTGTATTACCTTAATACACACAAAGCTATCTTGATCTTCTTTCTGCCCCCTAAGCATTGGTAAAAATTTTTTAACACTCAGTGCACCAGTGTATATACCCCACAAGTTATGCACCGCTCTTGAACATGTATATAGCATATGACCACCCTCCACCAATAGTATTGCACCACCTATATATGGGAAAACCACTACTACCTCTGACGTTCCCACTCAATCCTCACTTTCTTGATAGGCACAGCATCACTTAGACCTGTATTTTTTCACATGTAACTACCATTGACGACTGTACCTTGTTGACATTTCAATACTTTTTTCAACAGTTTTCTTTTACTGTTTTTGCACTCAATTCAGGATATTGACAACTTAAATTCCTGTTATGGTAGACAATGTTTCTGGTACGACTATCGAGGCATCGGATTCAACTTTATCTGCTGAGGAGGTACAGGCTTTAATATGCAGGGAGTTAGATTCCTACGTTTGGCCAAAGATTTCTTCTCATTTTCAACACAATAATGTTTTTGTGGATGAATACAATCAAGGAGACGAAAATTGTATTCACTTTTTCTTGCACCTTTTTATTTCAGTCTGTTACACTCTACACCTTTTATTTTACAGCTGGTTAATCAGGTATGTGGTATATTACATGTTTCCTTTTCCTCCTAGCTTCTAGATGCTGTTGATTGGATGTTTATGCTATTAATGTTACCAGAATCCTTTTCCATTCTTCTTATATTGCCATATATCCAGACTGGTCCTTCTTCTTTAAGACATCTGTAGCCCAGGGAGGCCAATTGGCTTTCACACACATTTATTTACCTTTTATCTCCCATACTCCCATTCCAATCCTGATTGGCTTCCTTGTCATGTTCGCTCTCTCTAATGTTATGTAGCATGTACTGCCTCCTTTCGAGGTTCACGTTCCCATCCTTTTATTCCCTGGAACCCTTCCTTTTCCTGTGATCTATTCCCTTTCACACAAACTAGTTGGGTCCTTCAACTCCTTAGGCTGGCATATTCAGCCTTATCCATGGAAGGTTGCCATCTCCTCAGCGTTTCTTGTCATAAAATTTGTCATATCACCATGTTTTTGGCTGCTCATCTTCACCATCAGTTGGAAGAAATCATTCAGGTCAGAATGTGGACTACTCCTTATTCCTTTGTCACTCATTATCTGCACTATTTGGCTGTATCTTTTTCAGGTGGATATAATTTTCCTTCCATGGCAATTCTATGCATGTCTGTTCACCTTGACTTGAGTATGTCTTTTTGCAACATTTCATTCATATTTTCTTTTCAGGGACCATCTTTTACCACTAGTCATTGGATCCTACTCTGTGGCAACGTTGCCTGGTCAGGTGTGCTTTTACTCAAACTCGTACTATATACTGGTAGAGCTATAACACTCACTGTAGAGAAGGAGTGTTTCACAAGATCACTAGTAGCATGCCTAGTAGTATATACTTGTGTCTATAGGTATCAGTATGTTTAACTTAATGGTGATTTCTACCCATCCCTGCAAACCCTTTGATTGCATGAATTGGAGACAGTCTGCTTTTCAAAATAGGGTATTGTGGACACCCATTGCACTTTCTCCAGTGTGACAATCCTCTGGATTCCCCACCACATTTATTTACCCCCGTTTTTTTCTCCAAGTTGAGCAAAGGAGTCCTTACCACTTACAAATTCCCAGTCACTGAGGTGGTGGACAAGGGGCTCCCTCCTGAGTGTGAAGTAGAAATTCACCTTACAATACTACCACACTTTTATCCACTTAGTGAGAAGAGGGAAAAGCTGGGTTCCCTCCTTCCTTTTCTCCTGGATGCTTATTTCCAGGTGGACCAATTGTAAGTTGGAGCAGGACCAACCTACATGGGATCCTCCTTATAATGCTAAGTTCAGGATGACACCACCCTGTTCCCATGGTTGAGTGCAGTAGAGGTCCTCCTTTTCATTAACTCTCTCAAAAAGGGCTCAGTTGATTTGACCGTACCACATGACCTTTTTGTACTCATATAAATTCTTTATAGATTTGATACTATTAACTTTTAATATATGTATATCTTCACAAAATTTGGCAGTCTTTCACATACAAAAATCATATTGTTTTGAAAAGTCCATGTGCAAAGTGATTTTCATGTTAAGATTAAAATTACTTTTCTTCATCTGAAAAGTTTCAGATTTCATATTTGTAACCTTTAAAATCTTCTCAATAGATATCAGAGGTTTTTTAAAGTTAAACTTGTAACCATCATAAAAAAAATCTAAGTTACCTTTTCTTCTTTCTAGAATGATTGCAAATTATAACAGGGTCCTATATTTTTTGGTATCCTAAATAGCTTAAGGCATGTAATAGTATACATCTGTTTATACTTTGTTTTATTGCCTTTTGAACCATGTCTGACTAACAATCCTGCCATACAAGTTGTAAATCACTTGGCATATGTGTAGCTCAAGTTACTGTATGGAATGACATAATGCTCGAGCTGCTTGCAAGCATACCTCATGAAGAATTTTTATTATTATTACTACTCATTATCTTACCTTATCTAACCTATTAAGTTTCTGATTTTTACATTTTAGTTACTTTTATAGCAATAAATAAAGAACATATATAATAAACAAGAAATATAATACTTATCTTTGGTCTCTTGTTTTTTTGCTGTTGGATGCCAATGAAATTTTAGCCTGTTTTATTTAACACTGATGGTATTAATACACTAAAAAAAATGTTATTTACTTAAATAATGCACCTAAAAACAGAATAATAACACACACAAA